GGCACTGTGACTTGGCTGTGAGCCTGGCACAGCCTGAGTCAAAACTCCCTGCAATATAACAGCCATCTCTGTTGTGAAGGGCTTGTAGTGTGTACAATTTGCCTAAAAGGGCAGCCGACTGTGATGTATGGATCTCCAAGGACTGAATGCACGGGCCACATTCCCACACACAGGTCTTGAGTGCCGAGTTCAGTTACAAAACTCGCAACACCAGACAAGTGGTGCAAAGAAAACAAACTTCTTTTAGAATTAAATATGACTTTAAGAGAGAGATTCAAATCCATCAAAGCCAAAATATTGTTCCAATAATGATTATCCTTTATCCTTATACAATCTGAATACTGCAATGGGTTGGCCTGCATTCTTAATATGTCAATGTCACCAATAGTACTTCTTTCTTAGGCACTGACATTGATCTTTCCTCATCTTGTCGGTGACATTGGAGAACAGAGCACACGGCCTTTACTTGTTTTTTTGATCTTGTGATGCCCTGAAGTGTGGCATACAACATCTTTAAAATGACACTGACAGCTTTAGTCCCTCTTTTCCCTTCTTGGTTTTTTAATCATTCCCTATCTACCTTATCTAACTCCCTATCCTCTTCTTGTGCTGCCTCTTCCTTACAGTGTGATATAAGGCAGAACTGAGATGCAGCTAAGTGATAAGACTGATCAATCTGGGAGACATTTTCATTCTGCCTGATGGCTACAAAATTTAAGCATGGGTTTTACATGACAAAATCAAATGGATTTTTAGCATTCCTCATATTCTATGAAGGCCTCCACACACACAATTTTAAATATTTGAATCTGACATTAGACATCAATCCAGGTGGATGCCTAAGTACTGCCATATTGTACTTTACTGAAGCTGTAAATCCTCTTGTACCTACTGCATATAATATAACCAGGGTAGTATCATTAAGTGTATTGCTTCTGACAATTAATTTTTAAATGGAAATGTTAGACAATGGGGGCACATGGATATATTTGAGGTGGAAATGCATTACGGACATCACTAAGTAATGTTGAAAAAGTTGATAAAGAAGACTTTTGGGGAAATATGATCTATAAAAGGGGAAGGCCCTTAGAGCCCAGTTTGCATGTTCCTGAAATGCAATTTAATATATTTAACACATAATAAAGTTGTAATCGCACTAAGAATAATACCATTTACAAAACCGAAATTATTCTTCTGCATAAACAAAAAACTTAACTATAAACATGTAGGAAACCAAGAATCTATCTTAAAGCATCGGCAGGCTCATGGTATACAGGGGCTCAGACCACGCTACCTTCCACCCTTATCCTCGAGTGACAGCTGAGCACCATCACGTCTGCGTCTACTAACTGCTGAGAACCTGCGGAGGCCAGCTGCACTCACCATCCACGTTGTAGACCTTCAGGCCGGCCATGTGCTTGGCGGCCCGGGACTTGGCTGCGGTCAGGAGAGCAGGGTTGTGCACAGGGAAGTCTCTGTAGTAATTCTCGAGGATCAGGACAGCTGCACGCTGGATGCTGAAAAAACAAAACCAGTGCACACAACCTTCAAAAACGTTTTTTTTTTCCTATCAAGTTCAAGGCTGTTTTCCCCCTCCATTTCTAACATTTTCTCCCTTTGTGCTCCACAAGGGGACGGTACTAGGGGGTGCAGGTGTTAGTCCTTCTGCCCGAATGCACGTGGATTCTGGTAACGATTCTGGGCTGGGGGTCCTTCTGCCTGGAATTTGAAGGTTCTCTCTCGGTGTCTGTACGCGTGTGTACTGGAATGGACTTGCACATCTAACAGGATATATTCCTGCCTTGTATTCCATAACTCAAGCACAGGATTCCACGATCCTTCAAGCTTTCCGATAATGATGGGTACTCTGTCTGTAAAGGGTCAGACAGGACCCGTTGACTATGGTCTTTATTCATCATGACATTTACTGTTCCTTTCTACCTTTAAAACATTTAAGAACTCAGCATTGGAAATTGGATTTAAATTACCCACATACAAATGAATTTGGTTCCAAGTAGTACACATTAGAAACTGGTTTTAAACATGTTGGACGTTGCCTCTTAACTACTGCAATTTCTAGGTTACATAAATTCCAAGCTTTGGAGTAGAAAGAAGCACTTGCAAATGTTCCAATCAAGCAATTTCTTAATTAAGGTTTCAATAAACTAAATTAAGCTCAACTCGAATTAAAACCAGCAGGTGTGTGAGACTCCAGGAGCAGGATTATGAACCCCTGCTCTTTCATATATTATTACCTTCTTCTTGTATTTTTAACCGATCTGATCACGACAATGGTCCGCTGGCATTACTGAGTCTTAAAGAGCAAACAACAGTTGTAAAAACAGTGCGCATATCACCACATTTCTGCAGCTCTTCCCAACATACAGCTTTAAGGGCCTTTTCTTATTGTTCACAATCAATAAACCCGCAAATAGGTCCCAGCTCGTTTTGACAGTCGCCATTGGAAATGCGGCGGGGAATGAATGATTAAAATGCATGGGCGTGTCTGTCTGGCACTGCTCAGTTCTCCCAACAGCTCCTGCAATTTGGATAAAACTGATAAGTACGCAGATCAAGTGAAACAGGCAGTTCTGCTTCTCCCAAGCCAAGCCCTCACCAACACTGTACTTAACACACATTCCATGAATAGCTTCTGAAAACATGCACCAAGTCGGTCTGGTAATTTCGTTAAGCAACTTAATTGCAGGCACCACGTCCTTATTCAAACCATGTGCTTCCTATCTGCAGGGACAACTAGTCGCTTGTCCCAACTCCACCATGTCGATGTGTTTCGAACTATTGTCTACACTGAATGACATCCCCACCAAAGTATGCTAAACTAATGCACACATCACATTCCGTTTCTTTTCTAGAAATATCTGTTAAAATTAGATTCGTTGGCTGACGAGTAGGTTGGGATGTCTAAATTCAAGAGGACAATTTTCCTGTACTACGGAAGACAAATAGGAAAAACAAATGACCTTACTATGCTCGAAGTTGCCTCATGAAAAGTCTGTATTCCTTGGTTGGAACAGAATTTGGAACTAAAAGTATGCAAAGATATGCAAAAGTATGCTAATCTAAAAATTTCTAAACTCAATTTAACCAGGAGGCATGTGTTACCACACTGGCTACAAACCACAGCAGATATCTGCGTGCGCGTTTTCATTTTTGCTCTTTAGCTTTTCCTTCAGACGACAAATGTGTTCTAAGTGCACAGGAATTTAACCAGATATTCATCATTTCCACGTGGCCTGAATGCCCAATCTGCTGCACAAGTTCCACCAGCTTGAGTCCTACTGACTGGTCTCAGTAAAAGGCTTTAGAAGCCTGGCATTGACACCATAACAGAGGTCATCATTCACCGCTGATAATTTTGAAGTAAGGCTACCGATACAGTATTTCTATATTTTTTTAACACATCCAGAGCAATGGAGTGAGAGTCAGTTGAAAATCACAGTACCCACCCACCCCCCGCAGTTGCTCAATATTTACATTTATTTGTGTATTAAGTATATGGGGGCAGCATGATGGCATTAAGTATTTGCTGGTTAGTACTGCTGCCTTGCATTACTGGAGCCCTGGGCTCAATTATGGAACCTGGGTTCTATCTGCAGCAGCAGCCATATCACCCTGCAACTCACAACTGGCAACCCACTGAAGCTAAGCAGGTGTGAGCCTGGTCAGTACCTGGATGGGAGACCTCCTGGGAAAAACTAAGGTTGCTGCTGGAAGAGGTGTTAGTGGGGCCAGCAGGGGGCGCTCACCCTGAGGTCCATGTGGGTCCTAATGCCCCAGTGTAGTGAAGGGGACACTATACTGTAAACAGGCGCCGTCCTTCGGATGAGACGTAAAACCGAGGTCCTGACTCTCTGTGGTCATTAAAAATCCCAGGGTGGTTCTCGAAAAGAGTAGGGGCGTAACCCTGGTGTCCTGGCCACATTTCCCATTGGCCCTTACCAATCATGGCCTCCTAATAATCCCCCTCTATGAATTGGCTACATTGCTCTCCTCCCCACTGATAGCTGATGTGTGGTGAGTGTTCTGGCGCATGGTGGATGCTGCACATTGGTGGAGGGGAGTCCCCATTACCTGTAAAGCGCTTTGAGTGGAGTGTCCAGAAAAGCGCTATATAAGTGTAAGCAAGTATTATTATTATTATCATCATCTGCGTGGAGTTCTCCCCATGATCACATGGGTTTCCTTAGGGTCCTCCAGCTTCCTCCCACAGTCCAAAACCTACTGGTATGTTAACTGGCTTCTGGGAAAATTGGTCCTGGTGTGAGTGTGTGTGTCTGTGTTGAATCTGTGTGTGCCCTGCAATGGACTGGCAGCCCATCCAGGTTGTGTCTCACCTTACACCCAGCACTTCCCTGGATAGGTTTGAGGCCCTGTAGTGGATACATGATGTGATGATGTATATACAAATTCCAGCAGATCAAGTGCAGAAATGGGTGACATCATATCCCTCAGTGATCACTTATTATGAGACAGTATTGAACAGTGTGGCTGTATGTATCCCGAATAAATGAACAATATCTCCTGCCACGCAAATCATCTTACAGAAACCACTTGTGGAACTACATGCATTTAAAAATTATACGTCAGTGCACCCAATAGATAGATACTTTATTGATCCCATGAGGGAAATTGCAGTGCAAAAAAGCCTCATTTATACAGCACTCAGCAGCAATATAATAACAGCCTATGCTCAATTTAAAACTCAATGTGTCATTTTACAGCTCATTGTGTATCATAAAGATCTTCTCATGAGTTCTCAACTGAAGGAAGTAAACTAGGTTTGAGCACTGAAACCGTAAGTATGAGTATTCCCACGTTAGTCCACTCCTTTGATGAAACATGAGAACAGTAGAAAGGTTACAAATGAGAGGAGGCCACACAGCTCACCAAGCCTGTTAGATAGTTTGTAGTTAATTGATCTGAGGATCTAGTTCAAACGTTAGAGAGAAGCCTGGGTATATAGTTTGGGTAATAACGTGCCTCCTGTTGTCAGCATAGCCGGTTCATATTTGTGTCCTCTGGCCAAAGTCCTTGACTGAATTCTATGCATTAGGTCCCCTCATTGTCTTCTCTGCTCAGTTCCTTCAGCTTGTCAGTGTAGGGCATTCCCTTAAGTCCAGGAATGTATGTATGTGGTTGCTCTTCCCTGGACTGATTCCAGGACTTGTTTTCCATGATTCCATAATTGTTTTATAATGTACAGTAGCAGCCAAATTGGTTTAGAAAATTCTAAATCCAGTTTTACTAGTCTTGGAACAGATCGAATACTAGACTTTCTAACAACTTCCTATTCCTCTACAGATGTTGTTGTAATAATACCATTCCTAAAGGATTTTGTCTTAAATTCAACACCTTTTCCTTCGATTCAGATAACACCCAGAGCAACACTCAGAGTCTTCACCTATTTTCCAAGAAACTATTGTATTCTATCATGTTTTCCCTCAAACAACAAATTATTCTTCCTGACAGCAACATTAAATCAGTAAAGATGTTTTTACAGCTAACAGCTCCAAATCCTCCTCCTCCTCACACCCAAAGAAGGCTCCACAGCCGAAATGTTGTATCTATTTTATTTTCCTTTCAGCATGAAATAAACCTTTACATCCTAATATTTTGTTTGCCTTTTTATCGATTTCCCAATGAAAACAGCCTTTATAGAAAGCTCCTCAAAGGAGATGCTGTGGAGACATACAACTATTAAACAAATACCAAAACGTTTATCAACACATGTCTTTTAAATATTGTAGCTGAAGTATTAATGGTTTGGAACAGCTTCTCAGAATTCTTACAAGTTTGAAACAGTCGGTTAAGCATCAAAGCGGAGATAAATATGCCCTATGACTTCAGCTGCTGTAATTATGATAACTAGACTACACCCTTAAAGCCAAAGACTATAATTTTATCTTGGTTCTGATAACAATGGCTCAGCATGCAATGTGGATGTTTTTTTCCCCAAATTGTTTAAGGTCTGCTAATAGAGATAAAGCTGTACCATGATAAACATAAGATACTGTCAATGCACATGGCCAAACATGACCCCTGTCCATTGCAGAATCTGGCATTTGTTTTCTTATGCACGGTCAACTCAGGAAGTGGTCTGATGGGATGCTGTATCAGATGAGGCGCACAAGGTTCTGTAATGCAGAACCACAAAACATTAACTGATTCCAACAGTGTGTACTCAGAATCCACTGCTACACATCTTTAAAATTCAGATTTCTGTACATCTCCCTTCAGTGTCTTATTCTTGGATCCCCTGTATGTAGCAAAATTGAAGAGGAGAGGTTTCACATTAAAAAAATGAAAGAACCATGTAGTCAAGGTTGATAAAATTAGCTATTCTGTATGTTATTTTCAGTTTAGATGGCTGCGCATATGGCACATTATCAAGTATGTTCCAGTCTTTCTCCCATCATCTACTGGCATGAAATTTATACTTAAGAACTTAATTTATTCATTCTGTCTTCTTCACAATACAGTGCTGTCTCACTTACCTTTAATAAGTCTGAGTAGCTTAAAAAATTAGTGCACTGCTTCAAAGTCCATGGCCAAAATGCAAAATGACTCTTATTAAATAAATCAGCTTTAGATCTCACTCCCTCACTGAATGAGGATGTTTTTTTTCTTCTTGTTGCAGTGAATGCAGCCTATCCATTATAAAGATAATCATGTTTTTGACACTAACAATACCAACAGAAAGTGAAAGAATTCCCAATGAAATCTAAACAATGCGATGTTTGCTCCTCAATCTCATGAGTATAATTAGTACGGTAATCAGCTCATAAAACCTAAAACGCCATAGTGCGACTGGAGTCTACACTGTCCCTTAAACTACAACAGCCAGCACTTATTTAATATCTTTCCTATAGCAACTGACTGTTATTTTGTGTGAGATTATGGGAGAAAGAGACACTTCAATAAGAGTGCTCAGACCCGACCTCTGTTTGAGCTTTCTGCACGGTGGCTCACCTCAGCTGGCCCAGGGTGTAGAAGCGGGCCTCTCCGTCGGTGGAGCGGACCACCTTGAGGGAGAAGGTGGGCTGCAGCTGCCGGAGCTCCAGAAGCACAATGGCCAGGTAGTGAATGAAAAGCAGGGCGTCCACCAGGGAGACGGCGTACTGCACGATGCCCTGGTAGTTCTCGTCCTGGGAGTCCAGGATGCGCACGCCGTAGAAGAGCCAGTAGGAGACCACGCAGAGGAGAATGAGGACGAGGAGCAGGGCCCGGAAGACGAAGACGCGGGGCATGTGGGCCCGCGGGGGGCGGAAGAAGAGGGCCCAGGCCCCGATCACCAGGATCAGGAGCTTGAAGGCCACAGAGATGAAGAGGCCCTCGCAGGCCGTGCCACAGGACTTCAGCTTGTCGGGCCACAGCACGTGGGGCAGGATCAGGAAGGCGATGGGTGTCAGGAAGACCAGCAGGCCCAGCACCGCCACCACAGCCAAGCCCAGGTAGCGCCGGCAGTCCAGCCCCACGCTGTCCTCCATGTCCTTTGTGATTCGCACAATGTCCTCCTGGGAGATGCTGTGCTCGGACGTTCCTGTGACCGCCGTCGTGGTCTCTCCCCAGTTGTCATCCTGTGTGTCAGCAAGGTTAAAAATACAGGTCAGGAACAACCGCCAAGCGTTTTCAAACTTTGTGCATCGCAATCGATATGTTTTAGTTTGTCCACTGCTTTCTATAACTCTACCAAACCCAGAGGCAGTGATGCTAATGAGGAGCTGCTGCAATAAGAATTGTTAAAAGCTTTTTTTAACCATTGTTGGAGACACAGCACCATGCACATTGAGTTCAGATAGCTTTTATTTGCCATTTGCTTTTGTGTCTGTGCAACATATGGCACCAATAAAACTGATCAGCAACTTCACTAATGCATTCACAAACAAACACAACAGTGGTTTAAAATCCTCAACATAAAAATACATTTTTCAGAAGCTCCATATCCTGCGTCTGCTACAAATTTCTGAGTTATTGACAAAATATCTGTGTCACATACGGCCGGTGATTTGATGAGGAAATGACTAAAATGTGAATTACAGTAATTTTTTTTAGCTCAATCCAAAAAGACTACATTTAAACCATGATCCTGGGTTGGTCTTGTTTCCTTTCAGCATATTCGATTTATGTACTAGAATTCGACAGTTTACTAGTAGTATACATTTGATAAAGATGTCTTCCCTTTTAGTTATATTACTGTACATCTGTAACATACAAACATTTTCAAAATATGGATTTCATATTCTTATATGTATATTAAATCTATATACGGATATCCATATATGAGTGGGCATCTCTAAAGCCCACTCCTAATTCATAACTGATTCTTGCTACCCTGTATAGCTTTAATTAAATCCTTATGGATTACTTGTGGGTACAAGTTTCTAATTCCTCAAAGGCATCAACAAAGTCAATCTAGTGTACCTGTTCACTGTTCATTCTGAAGAAGAGTTCACAGGAGGCTCTTCTTGACACAAAAGGTTGTGGAAATATGGAACAAGCAACCCAGCCATTTGTACCCTGGCTTCTTTCAAGAAACAACTGGATGAGATCCTTGGATCAGTTAACTACTAACTAATAACTGTTCTTTGTAAATGTTTACTTGTCCTTGGGGAAAAAAAAGGGTCTGGAATTATGGCTCAAACAATATGTCCTCTGCATTGTACTAACATCTTATCCAGAATGTATTCCGCCTTGCACCTGTTGCTTGCTGGGTTAGCCTTTGGCTGCCCCCTTACTGGATAAGCAAATTTAAAAAATGGATGGACAATATGCCTTTCACCTTTTTACCTTTGACCTTTGGAACTGAATCTTACTAGCACCAGGTACTTTTTCAATATCGTGATGTTCAGGAAATCTTGTCAGCAAGTAACAGAAAGTATTCTCACATAAAGCAATCTGAATAAAAATAAGCTTTCCAATTCCAAAGGTCTATTATAGTAAATTAGAACATAACAGGTTATCCGGTTGCATTTTAAAGCCCTTATCATCCTGAAAAATGTCTCATAATACGCAGACAATGACACTGCTCAAAGACAGATTAAAATGACCTTTTGTATTACTGTATACATTATATTATCTTTTCTACATACAGACGTTTCATTTCCCGTTTTAAAATTCAAAATCCGTCTTCTTCCACCCCTGGCACAGTCAGCTGAAATCAATTGGAGAAAATCAGGCATTCACAGGATTGCCTCTTGTACTGTATAATCATTCTTAAGTCATAACCTCACCCAGTTGAGAGAACGTTATCAGGCTGAAGGACATTTACTGTGAGGGAAAAATGCGAAAGTATTAATCTGCATAATGACAAGACAGCCAAGCAATAATCATCTTTCTTATTCTCTTGTGCTTTGCTTGAAACCCCAGAACTTGAACTTGAAGAAAAACAAATGGTGCGAGACACTGTAAAGACAACAGCAAAAGTCATAACACTTACATCCTTACACCCCAACGCCTGAGGTCTGAGTCTTCAAACCGAGACTGTAAATGTCTACAAACTATCAGGCATAGGAGATAGTAGACTACCTAAGAAATGATCTTCATGTAAGTGTGCAGTGGCAGGAATTAGTTCATTAGAGAACATATTGAGATGTGCGTTATTTTTTTTAATATACAGTAGCACTATTGGTTCCAAATCAGGTCTGGTTTTAAAAGGCATATCAGATCGTGTGAGAAATGTCAACCTCCTGTTTTTACACATGATTTGCTGGTTATCTTTGCTACATCAAAAACCTATATTCACCCATACATTTCTAAGGAATGAATAAGTCTGAGAATCAACAGTTACCAGCTGGATGTATCAACAACGCATCTTAATTACTGAAAATAACTTTTTTCTATCTAAAAAAAGATTACCACTTGCAGACTCAGGAGACCCCATGAGTTCACCCACATTTCCAAATTCGGCAAAAATCTATTCATGAGAAAATGTGAAGAAGATTATATATAGAAGAATATTCCACTTTTTTGCTAGATCATGTACTGGGCATGACCGCTGGACGATATTTCTCTGTTGTATGATATGGGACCTACCTGGACCTAAGGGGAGATTTCAAGAATTTTAAAAATATTTTAACACTAGCATACATTATTTAAAAATGTAATAGAACCGAACGCAAATTTTTAATTTTAGATTAGGTTAATAGAACGAAAATGAATAAAAGAATGAAAAGCCCACCAATAGGAATTTATGATTACTAACGAGTAATTTAATTTAATAAAGGTGTTCCCCATCAGTGAATAATACAGAATGCATCAACATGCAGTGATGGAGAGGACCATACAATGATGTTCATGATACAACAGCACTGTTGGGATTTGATTTGGTTAAGCAGCATGCAATCAAAAATAAAATAAAGCTTTCTTCACTTGTTAAAAGCAAAAGCATGGATTATAGGATATGGAATTGCAATCTATAACCTTTAAATAATTGCAAGCAGAGACTCTGACTTCCTTCAGGAAACATCTGGATGGGATTCTCAATCAACTGGAACAATTAACTACCAGCAGGCAAAGAGGATAGGTGGGCCTCCTTTCATTTCTTATGCATAGATTACCATCCAGGTTTAAACAAATGTCTTAATCCTCCCTGTTTCACATTAAGATGAAGTATGGGGATCAGTTAAAAACTCCTAACAGCCTTATCCCTCCTATCACACCAGGGATTTAACCTTATCCAAATCACCTATTGAAAAGGTGTATGTACTAGATTTGCAATCAGAGAAATGTGCAGCTGAAAAAATACACTAGAATGACCGAAAAGTAAATAGAAGTGAATATTGCAACAGGCAAAAATTCAAAGCACAGCACACTTTCAAGTCTAGTGCTGTAACAGTAAAGGAACTATAAAAGCAAGGGTAAATAGTTCCAGAGATAACAAATGATTAGTATTAGAAGATGATACAGACAAAATAAACCCACTAAATGAATATTAAATACAGGTTTCTACAACTGGAGACACCAATAACATGCCCTGTGGTCTAGAATGAGTTCAAGCAGTACTGGGTAATTTATCATAAAGCACACTGAGGTCCAAAAGGCATCAAAAACAAGCTGAAAATGTTTGCAGGCCCCAAGCTAGGGTATCTCAGCTCCTGCTTAGAATGAGAGCAGTACCCACAGATTACACAATTCCATTCATAAATAGATGGACAAAACTGAACCAAGAAACAATAGACCAACCTTCTTAAGTTACAGAAAAAAACAATTATAGCTATACCAGGAGAATACAAACAGAACTATGACATTATAATACCCAGCCAGCAAAGACAATCGAGAACACTAAAATTCACAGACATTATATATTCTGACACCCAGAAGGTCCATCATAACATTTTGATTATAAAATGTTAATTCAATGTAATGTCTGCACACACACACTGAGAACTGGTTAACAGGCAGAATAACATATTGCAGTGATGTGGCATGATCTATATCCATGATTTAGATTCCGATTTAGTTACCAAATTAGTTGCATTTACAGACAACAGAAATTAAAGGGTAGGGAAACACACACAGCAGCAAGGGAATTAAAAAAAAAGTCACAGGCAAAATCCACACTAGGCCGACACTTGGCAAATGAAATTTAATGTTGATATGTACAAAGTGATCCACACTAGTAGTGAGAACATACGTTATATACGGCATATCGCATGGGTGATATGGAGCTACAAGAATTTAAACAAGAAATTGATATGGGTATTTATGCAAATTTTTCCTATTTCCACAGAAAGACATAGAAACATATGTGGAAGTGATAAAAAGCTTGGGTATATAGTAAAGATTATTAAATGTTATCCCTACAAATGACAATAATAATAATTATAATAATTGCCTACACTTATATAGCGCTTTTCTGGACACTCCACTCAAAGCGCTTTACAGGTAATGGGGACTCCCCTCCACCACCACCACCAATGTGCAGCATCCACCTGGATGATGCGACGGCAGCCATAGTGCGCCAAAACGCTCACCACACATCAGCCATCAGTGGGGAGGAGAGCAGAGTGATGAAGCCAATTCATAGAGGGGGATTATTAGGAGGCCATGATTGGTAAGGGCCAATGGGAAATTTGGCCAGGACATCGGGGTTACACCCCTACTCTTTTCGAGAAACGCCCTGGGATTTTTAATGACCACAGAGAGTCAGGACCTCGGTTTTACGTCTCATCCGAAAGACGGCGCCTTTTTACAGTATAGTGTATACTGGGGCATTAGGAAACACATGGACTGCAGGGTGAGCGCCCCCTGCTGGCCCCACTAACACCTCTTCCAGCAGCAACCTTAGTTTTTCCCAGGAGGTCTCCCATCCAGGTACTGACCAGGCTCACACCTGCTTAGCTTCAGTGGGTTGCCAGTTGTGAGTTGCAGGGTGATATGGCTGCTGACTAGTATCTTACAATGCCCCAGTAAGACTTTATTTAGACTATTGTCTTCAGTTTTGGTCACACTGTCAGAAAAAAAAAAGATTATTATAGTTACAGTAAGAGCTCAAAGAAGATTGATAAGATGAATTCTCGGGACACGTTAAGGGAGATAAACCTCTTCAGTCAAAAAAAAAATAGATTTAATTAAAACA